CAGGGCGTCAGGCCGCACCGGGTGGGCCTGGCTTCCCGCACGGACCGAACCCCAGAGCCGCTGCCAGCCGGACACTGCTGGGGCCGGGGCTGCTCCCGACGCCCAGCTGGTCGCCTCGCGGAGACGGTGAGACGGGCGACTCGGGGCACACGGAGGGATCAAGCGTCAGGACGCAGAGTCCCGGGGTACCCGGAGGGGCGCTGCCAGTTCTGGGCGAATCTGCTTAACCTGCGGCAATGGGTATTACACCTCAAAAGCCAGATCTATACCCCGAGTTTTCCAGGTGGTTCCTGTAAGCCTTTGCTTAGATACGCAAACGGGGTGCGCTCAGGCCGTGGGAGGGTAACACAGACTCCGAGCGGCAGTTTGCTCCAAATCCCAGCGCCCCCGAAAGACAGCGGCGTCACCGCAGTTTGCAGAGAGCGCACGCAGGAGCGTTCTGGGGACGGCGTTTCCGGTCACACAACGCAATTCTGATGTCCATACCTTTTAACAGCCTTTGTCCCCCCGCCGGCGATGCAGTGGCCCCGACTCACCTGAATGTGCATGGCGCCCTCTACTGCCTCCTGGATGTCCCTGCAACCGGAGATGAGTGACAGCTGCTGATGGGCGCTCAGAGCGCCTTTCAGAGAACCCGACTGCTCCAGCAACTTTATCTCTTTTCTGGAAAAAAGGAGGGCGCGATCGCTGAGTATTCAAAAGCAAATTTAAAACGAAAAAAAGGTCAGCATTGCCCATCAGGAGCGACTCGACAGTCAAAACCACAGAGATGCCACTTCGCGCGTGAGGATGGCTGCCATCAAAAGAACATGAAAAACGCCAAGCGCAGGTGAGGACGTGGGACACCGGTGCCCCTGCGCCCGGTGCGGGGACTGTATAGAACGTGCAGCCACTGCGGCGACCGGCTGGCTGGCTTCTCAGCAAGTTAGAAATACAACCACCACGTGATCCGGGAGTCCACTTCCTGCCGCAAACAGACCAGGAACAACTGGAAGCAGAGCCTGGGAGACCCGCACACCCGTGCTTGGTGCAGGGCTGTTCACAGCCGCCAGGAGACAGAAGCGACCCGAGTGCCCGCAGATGGGCCAATCCACAGACAAATTCCCATTCAAACAACGGAATATTATTCGGCCTGTCACCTGCCACAACATGGGGTGAACCTGGAAGACACTGTGCTCTGGGAAATAAGCCCATCGCAAAAGGGCAGCTCCTGTGCGAGCCCACTTACTCAAGGCCCCCAGTGCTGTCCAAACCCTGGAGACAGAAGGTAGGTGGTGGGAGTCGGGGCTGGGTGGCGGGGGTTAGTGTTAAACCGAAACAGTTTCCATCTGGCAAGGTGACAAGAGTTATGGAGACAAATGGGAATATACTTAACATCAGTGAACTGTACCCTTAAATGTGCTATGGTAGTAGGTTTTATGTGCATTCTACCACGATTAAGTTTTTTAGGAAAAAAAAAATTGTTTACAGATGAAGCAAAGCCAACGAGGGTCAAAGTGGGAGGCAGAGGTTCAGTGTCCTCAGCCTTCCGTCAGTCAGTGTCTTCTATTCGGGACCAGCCGGCTTCCTGGTGTGTCACCGGTCAGTCACACAGGCCCCGTGCTGGGTAGAACACCCTGCTGTCACCGTCTTAAAATCCTCAATGAATCCTGAGCAAAAGGCCTGCATTTTCATCAGCGGTCTGGTAGAGTAGCTGAAAATCCGTGAAAATCCGTGGCGGATTGCCTAAGCAAGGGGGCACGCACACAGACACACGCAGCTGCCACGTTCGGGCTTTCCACGAAGCTCTGTGGATGTTCCGCCAGTGAGTCAAATCGTTGGGCAGCCCAGCGCCAGGGCCCCCCCGTGGGACCTGCTGGGAAACTGCATTTGCGTTTAAAGGTGGAGAAAAGCAAACGCTGGCAGTGATCAGGGGAGGGTAAGGTACAGGTGAGTTTCTTTCATTTCTGTTTTTGAGGTTTTATTCGAAAGGAGTGTTTACTCCTTTTTAAGATGATGGCGAAAGGGGAAACTTGTGCGCTCCTGGTAGAGGGTGCAGCAGCTGTGGAAGATGGACGGCATCCGACGTGGCTTTACCCCCGTGATCCAGCAACCCCGCTTCTGGGCACATGTCCCAACAAGGAAAGCAGGCACTTGAAGAGATGCTTGCACGCCCGTGTACAAGAGCAGCGATGTTCACTGTCGCCCAAAGCAACTCAGGTGCCCATCGATGGATGGACAGATAAATGAGACGGGGTACACACTCACGACAGAATGCTACCCTGCCTTAAAAAGGAAGGACATCCTGTCACATGCTACACTGTGGATGACCCTTGAGGACTTTCTACCAAGTGAAATCAGCCAGTCACAAGAAGACAAACACTGTGTGACTGCTCTCGTAGGAGGCACCCAGAGCAGTCAGATTCATAGAGACAGGACGCAGGTCTCCAGGGGCGGGGGGGGATGAGGAGCTAGTCTTTCATGCAGACAGTTTGTTTTGCAAAATGGAAAGTTCTAGAGGTGATGTTGGTGATGGTGGCCCAACAGTGCGTGTGTATGTAATGTTGCCGAACTACACACTTAAAAATGGTAAAGATGGTAAGTGTTACGGTATTTTTTTTCCCTGGACTCCAGAACTGTGAGAACGGTATGTTTTTTTTTTTTTTACCCTAGTTAGAAATAAAAAAGACAAAGACTATATATTTTCTTCATTACTGGAGTGGATGCTTTAACCGGCGTTAACTTTTATTTAAACTTGAATCTCCATCTATGGCTACGCCACCCTGAACAAGCCCGATCCCGTCTGATCTCGGAAGCTAAGCAGGGTCGGGCCTGGTTAGTACTTGGATGGGAGACCACCTAGGAAGACCAGGTGCTGTAGGCGTAAAAAAATAAATAAAATATAAGGGATTGTAAGATGGCAAGGTCCTTGCAATCTGTGAGGTCAACCAAGGGTCGCCTCGCCTAAATAAATAAATAAATAAATAAATAAACTTGAATCTTCTAGAAAGATAATGAGAATAAAAGTCAAGCAAGATTGAAACTCCATAGAGCTAGAATGCAGAAATGAACTGATTTAGGGGCCACCTTGTAGGTTTTATAGGATGAGTTAGAAAATCGTTTCGGCTAGCATCATTCCAATCGATTCACGTAATAATAATCTAGGCATGGACTTCCACTCACATGGGGTGAATGAAACACATATGTTTATCCTGCTCCCTGCGGAAACCTCGATAAAACCAGACTAATCCTCTTAACTAGACGTAACGTGATCGTCTCACGATGCACACAAATGTCAATCATTATGTTGCACACCGGAAACGACTATGATGCCATATGCCAATTATACCTCCACAGAGAAAAATTGTAAATAAAAATAGAAGCATGCAAGTAGAAGATATTTTTTGGAAGATGGGACGGGATGGAGACGCGGTCAAGGGAACACCAGCGAGAAGCATGTTGATGGGTCTCGGGAGGGGGCCTGGCGTGGCCAGAGTCCGCAGACACTGGTGTAGCACAGCCAGACAGGGCGGCAGGAGCCCAGCCCCCGCCAACTGCTGCAGTAATTCAGCCAAGACACAGCAGCCACAAGAGGGCAGGCGTGACACGCTGGGGAAGATGAGCATTAGATCAGCTCACATGTGAACGGTGAGACCCGTCACACACGCGTGCACGTGCACACGCATGCACACACCCACACATGCACACACGTGCGCGCACGCACACACCCTTCCAGGCTGCGAAGGGCGCCGAGGGCCCTTGGCCCGATCCCCACAAACCCCTCGGAGTTGGTCGCTTCGCACGCACACACCCCTCCAGGCACTTGTCCTAGGTGGCAGCGGCATGCCGCATGGAGACTGGCGGGGCCCCTCCAACGCTGGGAAGGGCGCCGAGGGCCCTTGGCCCGATCCCCACAAACCCCTCGGAGTTGGTCGCTGCCTCTTTCTTCAGTACGACACAGCATCACCAGGTACTACACGGCCTCTGACGTTGGAGAGAGGACAAAACAAAACCACCTTTCCGTAGGTGGGGTGGCCGTGTGTGTGTCCCCTGCTCGCATAGAAGCTGCTGCTGTTCCCCGGCCCGGCTCCGTCGCTGGTACCGAGGCCCCAGCGGACCCCTCCGAGGGCCCCAGGGCTCCACCCGCACCTCCAGTCCGCGGCTGGCCGCGTTCGCGCCCCCGAACCCCAGGGGTCAGGCGCCGGCAGCGTGGGGCGCGGTCCCCCAGTGCGGCATCTCCGGCGCGGAATGCCACGTGAGCCCGTCTCTCTCGTGCGTTCACCACGCTTTTGCCCTTTTCCATGGTTTTGAAATGGGGAGAAAAAGGCCGCGGAACAGAGCGCGCTTTGACCTGCTGTCTGTCGCCGTCAGAGACCTCAGAGGCGACAGCCACACGGTTGCTGCGTCTGTGCCCCTCACGCCAGGGGAGCTGCACCGCCCACCTGCACCGCCCACCTGCACCGCCCACCTGCACCGCCCACCTGCACCACCGCTGTGTGTGCACAGCACAAGCACCCGGGGGGCCCAGCACAAGCGTCCACCCTCACGATGGCCTGCCCTCCCCCCAACTTCTTCGATGTATGATCAGCACACGTAACTTCACAAACCAGATAAAGCGAAGCTGTTTCTGTTTGGGAACAACGGTAAATAAGTGAAATGAAGCCATCCAACTGTCCCAGTGACAGCAAGTGGCAGCATGACCTGTAGACACACAGATAAGTCAGGTGGAACTGGCTGAACCTGGGGTTGTGGCTGTGAACTTTGAGCAGCAGGACCTCTGGTTGCTTCTGAAGTCCTCGGTCTGGTTGGGTTCGGTCACGACCTCCCTGCACTTACTGCTGGGGGACGCCACAAACACCTGGCCCTGCACCGGCAGGTGGTCACCGTTCACACGCGTCTCCTTTATCGTCCTGCACAAGACGGCAGAAGTGTCCACGAATGTCGCCCACGGGTTCTTGCGTTGCTATCTAGATCACACCCATTTTGGGGCCACTGCCACGAATCTGTGTGTTTTCTAACCGTGCGAGGTGTTTTCTCTAACCTTGGAATTTTCCCGACAAAGTCTCACCAGGCCCTGCTTGTGTCACACATGTGGATGTCCCACGGCCAGTGTCCGAGTCGAGGAGTGGGGACATGGCAGAGGGGTGTGGGGACAGGGACGGGAGTTCGTGGCCTCTTATACTCAGTTATTCTAGTCAGAGGCATATAGAGAAACCGAGTCTGTTTCAGACCAGAGCAGACCGGCCCGCCCGACTCCAGGGTGACATCGAGTGCGAGATGTTCCAGTCGAGATCTGAGCAGTGAGTCCACAAGTCCAAGACCCCACCACGGGGACCCCCGAGCTCAGGGACGAGCAGTTCAGCTACTCGGGACCCCGAGCCCAGGGCCGCAGCCTTGTTCAGAGGTCGCCGCCTCTGGTGCTTTACGAACCCCTACCTGCTTAGAACACAGGTTCATGTTCAGGGGGCGCTGAGGTCAAGAGCCACCCTCGGCTCACGGAAAGACGGCAGGGAGAAGAGTAGGTTGTCACAAGACAGTGACGTCTGATTGGGGCTCCAGCCAGACAGAGCAGCTTGTCCTCTGCCCCGAGGTGGGGTGGTCACTGAGATGTCAGCGCGGCCCACGCCAGGGAGTCCTGGTCCTGTGGGCTAGAATGTCCCTGTCACTACATGGACATGAGGCTGGATCCGAACCATACGAAGCAACCCGCTCCTGATCTGGGGTCCGCACTACAGCTTGGCTTACTTATGTTTGTTTTGCTTCTTAAGATTTCCTCAGTCTCTCAGATTCTTACGTGAGGCCTGGGACGTGCCAAGCCCTGGGAATTCTGGGAACACAGTGGCAAACACCTGCCGGTAAAGTTTTCCAGAAGCAAGCTACCTCTCCACTGTGAGATTTCAATATGCTAAGTCTTAAGTTATTCATTTTGCCACCCTGTTAGAAAAAAGATTAGTCTTGACAGCGTTTTTATTCTACTTTTTAATTCACTCAGATCTCTTGGCCTGGTACGAGTTGCGATAATCATTTCTTTACTCTTCTAATGTTTCGATATTTTTAGAAAATCCATTTCATCCCGTTTAAGTTCATTTTTGCAAGTGCAGGATCAAGATGTACTATTTCTAACTCATTTAAGATGAGCGTTTAATAGGTTTAAAACTCACGGAATTTTTATGCAGAGGTAACGAATTTCGACATTTTATTTTGTGCTGCGGAACGTTCAGCAGAACCTGAAGGGGGACGGGAAGCAACCGCAGGGTGGAGCTGAGAGCAGGAGCAGACAGGGAGCTGCCTTCCGCGAGTCTGGGCAAGGTCCCAGTGACTCCGTTTGCACAAGGGCTGAGTGGCGCCCTGATGTCCCAGGCTCTGGGGACAAGACCGGCACTGTGCTACTTCTGTGCTCACGTGGCTCACACAGAGGTCATGGAACCTGAGTACCCAGGGCACGGAGGGCCCCTGGGGAGCTCGTAGCCCAGTGTGGTGGACGAAGACCACAAAACAGTGTCGTGAAAGGGCCCCCCGGGGCACACGCTGTTTCGACCACTGGTCAGTTCGACCTAGCTGGGAAGATGCACTGATCATGCTCCTGGACGGAAAGGTGACATTGGTCTTCCTTACACCATGTGACGAACACGTGGCCAAGGACATCTGGCCCTTGGGTTCCGAATGTGGGGGGCCCTAGGGCTGTAGTTAGTATGTGTTGACCTGCAGGCTGACACAGTTCACTGAGTGAAAGTGGAGGCAATGATTCCTTCCTGGCTGAAAAAATTTTGAAACTCAGAATTCATCTTATCGACCAAAATAATTACAAAAAACAAGGTTTGGACTCAATCTTCTTAACCTGCTCTCTGTGCAGAAATGGCATGTGTGGAAATCTTGTGATCTGAGAAAGGAAAGCAGGTCACAAGACCAAAGCCTGGTACTCCCCAGGGGGGCAGTGTGGCACTGTTCGCCCCGTTTCAACTATTGAACACAGGGATTGAGAAGCTTTTTCTGTAAGGGTCACATAGGACATGTTAAGCTTTGGCCACCTAGGTCTCTGTTACATAGTCTTCTTTTTGTATTTGATAACCCTAAAATGTAAAATCCAATCTTACGGAAAATGGGCTGCAGGCCAGGTGTGGCCACCTGGTAGTGTCTGCCAGCCCCTGGTCTGACATGATGTGTATGTCAGCCACCTTTCCGGATGACCTACTTCTCACTCCTCCCTCTCCCTCCAGGTCAGAGATCTTAGTCTGCGGTGTTTACCACAAACTCAGCACCAAGATAAACACTTAGGAGGTGCCCAGCCAGTGACTCCTATAGCGGAAGCCACTGGCATCCACAGAGATCTCTCGGAATCCCGTTTGCCAGCGCTGGGTGCCCACCCTCTTGCTTTTGAATTCTTTGTTGCTAAGGGCTCACATGCGTCCTCTCTCTGAGCACCACCCTGGACCCGGACCAGAGACCTAGAAGTGCCTGGGAGTTCTCATCGCCAGGGGTGGGGGCGGGGGAGCTCCCAGCTACTGACGGGTGCAGGATATGAAGGGTCAGCAATCCTGCCCTCAGGGGTGACAGACTTTGCAGAGTACATTCTGCTCCAGAAACTCCCTGGCATCCTCATGAGTCTAGGACTTCTGAAATCACGCCCGCAGTTGGCTTTTTGGTCTTCCTTACTTCCTCGCTCCCCACTGGCTTCTCCTGGGAGCACTTCCTGGCCCAGAAATCTTCATCTCGGGATCTGGTTCTGAGGACACTGATCTAAGACAGCCTCGGGTACTGGAATTACCAGGTACATAAATACAGAACAATTGTGCACTAGATGCGCAAAGATTTTTTTTTCTTAATGGAACCATAAAGAATGAGCAAACAATGAGAAGTCATTCAAAACGAACAAGTATATTTGGAAAAGAAGCAAATGGAACTTTTAAAATGAAAATGTAATTATTGAAGTAAGCTCCGTGGGTGGTTTAAACGGCAGATTAGATACGGCGAAAACTAGAATTAGTGAACTAGGAGAAAGATCTAGAAAGTGGATCCAGAATGCATTCCAAAGAGACACGGAGAGAGAAAATATGAACGAGGTTAAAAGGTATGAAGGCTGGAATGAGTTGGTTCGATACAGAGATACTCAGAATCCCAGAAGTCTCACTGTCCAGTATGTATACCCTGCATTTCTACACTGGGGACATATGCCCCAATAATTACTGGAAACGGCGCTAATGTTTGTAAAAGGTAAAAGAGAAATAAACTATAGAAGTCACATAGTAGAATATTAGACAGCAATGACGACAGATGTACCAGAAGCACAAAAATGAGCAAAACTGAACTGTATATTGTTTGGGGGTACATATATCTGATAAAACTATTTTTTAGGCAAATGATAAACACAAAATAAAGGTGCTTTATTTACTAATTGGTACTTCGGGTGGGAAGGCAGAGGGAGCAGATCCACAGGTACACACAGGGTATCGATAATGTTCTCGACCCCCAGCTGGGTAAAAGGTTCATGAAGGTGTATAATTTCTTGCCACCTATAGCCTGACCTCATGGCCTATATGTTAGTCTTTTCAGAAAGTAAATGATAAGGCATATTTCTGTTACACAAAAATGCACATTCAAGTGACACGTTCATGGACAGCCCTCAAAGGAGAATGACCGCCTGAGCGAGATGATGTCTGAGAGGGTCAAACTGTGCTCGGGGCCCGGGAATCAGGGCGCCGTGCCTCCAGGCACACTGCAGCGGCGTCCGTCTCTCTCTCTAACCTACTGATTCCCGTCCTTCCTCCTTTCGTTCCTATTCCTCTTCTACAAGCTGCAGTCACCCCTAAAACACAGCCTTCGGCATTCGGTAGGCTTGTCTGCTCCCACACTTGTAACTATTATTGTTATCCCCGTTAATCTGGGTCCTGCCACCATTCCATCGATAGATCAAAACAACCCTCAGGGCCTGGTAATGCCTTTGCAGCCCCCTGAAGCCCCGCCCACACCCTGCAGCCCCGCCCACGCCATGCAGCCCCGCCCACGCCATGCAGCCCCGCCCACACTCTGCAGCCCCACTCACCGCCCCTGCACTCCGCCCGTCACCTGCTGAAAGCCAGCTCGCCTGCCCCTAGAGAACACAGGAAACCCAGACCTACAGGCCTGTGGGACACAGCAGGAGTTTACAAACTCATTCAGGACCGATGCCTGCGATCCACATGCAGTTCGCCACCCCTGTCCCACCTCTTACAACTCTAGGGTCTTTCCGTCGCAACTGGAGCCCCTACTTCAGTTTGCATCTCAGCCCCCCGTAGGTCTGGCCTTTACCAGCTCAGTGGCACTGTAATAGCCCTGAAGTGAAAGTGAACCACAGACGTCTGTGACCTTGAGAATGTGACAAACAAGACTCACTGAGAGCAACAGTCACCCCGTCCCTCCCGGAGGTGCCAGCTGACTTACCTGATGTTTTCCAGGGAATTCGTTATCTTCTGTTGCTCAATGTCATAGAGTTTCACCTTGAAGCCGCCACTGGCAAACAACATAGCCCAGCTTTGCCCGATGAGTCCACTGAAGGGACAGAAAATTAAGAAAGGCTTCCAGTTAATAACGACACAGGTTTTCATTCCCAAACCAGAATCATTTTTTTTTTAATTGTACAGCATCCTACTCTTAAAGTAGTTAATATCGTCAAGTCACCCATTTTGATAGCTCTATTGATTTAAAATGTTTTCTGTCTCCACGTAGGAGCCCCTGAGTCCTCGACCCCCGTGTGGCATTAACACTGCGTGTGCAGCACCCCCGATGTCAGGGAGCTAACGCGTGCCACAGCCCAGACAAAGCTGCAGAAAGGAGGTGGTGTGGATCTGAAACTTATGAGCATTGTCTTAGGCAAGTCACTTCCCTTGAAGAACAGATATGACTGACCCTGCCCCCTTCAAATAAATAATTACTGCCACCGCCACCGGCATCTGTGCAGGTATGCGGTGCCGAGCAACATTAAACGGGTTATGTGTTCACCTCTGTTGATCTTACAGCAACCCACAAGGTCGGCGCTATTGTTTTCATTTCATGCATGGGAAAACTGAGGTGCAGGCAGGTGAGGACGACTCAGGCTGTAAGTGCCAAGCCGAGACCCACCCCAGCAGTCTGACTCCAGTCCTCACCAGTACGTTCTGCCCACTGGTCCAGACCGACTGGGAAAGGAAGCCATCGGCTTTAGCAAGATGAATAGGGTAGGGACCATGACAAGAGCAGTTTCGGTGGACTGGCAGGGACGAAAGCAAGCCTGCCGGGTTAACAGAAATGGGCTTCTACTTCTAACTACCAGGTCAGGAAACAGAGTGACAGAGGGACCCGTTAACTGACGTAACAGGGACACTTTCTGCACACCCAGAATGCGGGAAACTTTACAGGACAAACGACCCATGTACTCCAACAAGTAAACTGCCAGGACCCGGACAATTTCTTAGAGTTGTGTTTGAGGAAACAGGAAATATATCCTCGAGGACAAAGAGCCCGCCTGCTTATCTCTTACTATAAATCGGAGGCCTCCCCGAGCTCAGCATCCCTCTCCTGAGCACACGCACTGAATCTGCAGGTGTCCGCCTGGCCCCTCCACGTCACGCCCCCCGGGACTCGGGGAGAGGGAGAACCAAGGTAAATATGACATCCATGCTGCCTGCTCTACGCTGAAAGTCCTTTATCTCTGACCACGGGGTTTCACGTCCTCTGCCAGCAGGAAATAGTAGCAGGCTAAGCTATCAGCTTGTAGGGAGTCTGCACATGCACTCGGGAAGCTTGTCTCGGTCGAGGTGTTATTTCTCTGCAGTCACTGTGTGAGTCACTTTGGGAAATGGACGCTAGAAGAGTAGTCACGGGGTGGGCTCCAAGGAGCAGTCTCCCACCCCATCTCCCTCCGCGCCCCCCCCGCCAAGTCAGCTCATCCATAGCTCTGGTTCTGAACATAGGAAGTAAGATACATACATCAGAATGGCAGAGACTAAAAAGACTGGCAATGCTTCGTGCCGCCTCCCAATTCAGCTCATCCATAGCTCTGGTTCCGAACACAGGAAGCGTCTCACACCAGACACGGTTACAGCCCCCATAGCATCTGCCACAGTTTTGGGGCCCAAGCGATTACAGGGACAATTGTGGCATGCCTCCTGTCGACTTGAAAATCCTGCTAATGCCACAGAAGTGCTATTCAAGCTTGGAAGCTCTCGCACTGATGCTTACTTGAGCCAAGGCTTTATACACGCGAGGGGTCACTGAGAGGGGCTGCCTTCCTGTGACGAGCTACCTTATGTGAAGCTGAAAAAAACAGAGCGGAGAAAACTGAAATCACCTCTACTCAACTTCGGGAGGTCAGAGTGGGAATATACAGTAGATTTGACTCCATATTCTTCTGCAATATTGAAATCTTTTGCAATTAGCGTAAAATTTATATATTACGTACACATACATTTTTATTAAATTCTCAGTGCTCTAGACCTGCAGTGCCCAATATGGTAGACTCAAGCCACATGCAGCCATTTAAATTAATTAAAATTAAATAAATTTTAAAATTCAGTTCATCAGCAGTACTAGACACATTTCAAGTCCTCAACAGCCACCTGTGACAGCGGCTACCATCCGGGAGAGCACAGGTGTAGCAGAACACTTCCATCTTTGCAGAAGGTTCTAAAGGACAGAGTCGTTCTGGACAACTCCGAACAAAAAGGAAACTCAGACTTAGAAAGAGCTAGTCCCTGCATGAAGATGTCTTCCTCTTCTTCACACACACACATTTTCTCTCTCTCTCTC